TATATATATTTTTTTAAAGTGTAATGTTATATGTACAGAAAAAACTATACCACCAGTTTGAATAACATTATTTTTGTATTTATCTTTTTTTATCATTTTATTTATATGAAGAAATATATTATTAATTATGGAGAGATATTTCTCTATAAAAAATGAAGTGGTGAAAAAATATGAAAATAACATTAATTTTTATTATATGTGTAATATACATATTTTTTTAATCTTTACTTTCATTGATCACATACAAATAAAGTTTTATTGTTTTACAATGTTTTCAAGACAATAATTTTATTACTTAAACATCAAATTCTAAATATTTTGTCTTATAAGAAATATGATATGATGGCCATACAAAATTCTAAAACAGGAAATTAAATCAAGTAGATTAATAGAATGATATTAGAATATTATATATTTTATTATTTTAATTTTTTTAAAATATTATATGATCACACTTATAAGGTCTTCTTTGTGATTATTGAATTATAAATAATATATTTTCTTAATTTTTAGAGATATGATTGAAAATATTATCTGTCTATCTTTATCTTTACAATTTTTAATGGTAAATTTTAGTGTAGAAGTAATTATAGTTTTTTAATTTTTCTAATAATATACCTCATAAAACAGATACACCACAAAAGTTATTTTAAATTTAATTTCTACCAAAATTATTTTTAAATAACATCGAAATATATTTATAAAATTAAAATTATGTAAAACCAAATTCACAAGCATCTATAGAAACCATTAGCTTCATAAATTACAAATTATCTTTTCTTTCCTTCTTTTTACTGTTGTGATTGAATAAATTACAATTTATCTATCGTGCAGGTTAAGACTATTCAGGAGACATGTGAATGCAAGAATCGATTCCTTGCATTACCACTGTGGCTAACTTGTGAAAATGTCTTTTCATTACCATAAACTATAAAGTAATGCACCCATTTCAGGTTAACATGAAAATAACAAAAAATTAACATAAGATAACAAAAAGGAAGGACATGGAATTCTAAAAAGTATCATATGATAAGAAACGGAACACAAGAGACAAAGAAACCGTGACTCTTTCTGTTTATTCCTTCCTCTCTCTCCTCCTTTGTTTTTAATAGGTAACGTTATTTTTAAAACAATAAAACGGATGAGATAAAGTGAGTGATGTAAAGAAAAAGAAAAAAAAATAGTTGTAAAAATATGAGGTTAAAAATATCGTTAGCCGTTACCATTTTTTTATTAATTACTTTTCATGGAAAACATAAAACCAACATCAAACTTTAGAATGTTCACAAAAGAGTTTAATTAAGAATGTTTCTGAATATATATATATATGAAAAGAAAAAAAAACTGAAGAATGTTTTCCTTTTTTAAAACTCCTTTCTCTCATTGCTTTCCTTTTGTTCTCTCTAAACACGTAAAGATGAAAGCAGATAAAATGCAGAATTGCTATGCAAGAAAATGAGAAGAAAATGAAGAGAGGGAACCTAAATGTTCTCAACTCAGAACAAGCACCGAGCCAGAAACAAAGCTGAAGAGTCATTCCAAGCCACCAAAGGAAGAAAACAAGTTTGCTCCTCCTACCCAACACCTTCACCTTCATCTCTTAATAATATGAACCTGCAAAAACATGTATCAACTTCATTTCATAAACAACAAGACCCCATATGAAAAATTTTAAAAAAAAATGCCATGATGAACTCAGATAATGCTGTGTTGAAATTGTAAAACTAAACTACCACCATTAATCCATGTGGAAGAAATGTTGTAATGAAACGAATTTCGAGAGACATGGACGAACCTTCAAAATTACAATGGGAGATGAAAGGCCAAGTGAACAAAATTCCGAGTTTTTATCCCCCGGAATTGTTTGTGTGTTCTTGTTCTCTCCCTTATGCTATTTCTCTTTGGAACCTTAATGATATGCACCTTAAAAAAACGTGCTGACATTTACATAATGACAACTGATGAATGGCTTTATATATAACTAAAAATAATCAATGGTCAAGCCTAGCTTCTCTTTCATGTTACAATTTTTTTCCATTTATTTTAGTTTTTATTGCTAAAAAGGGTTTGGTAAATCCCAGCCCCTCAGTTTCCACAATTTCACATTAAGGAAGTTTTTCCCTTCAGCGTAGGGCGTACGTGGTCCACTTAAGGGCACAACAGTCTTTCTCAAAGGTATCATAAAGACAAATTAATAAATGAATCACATGAGACCATAGAAATAGTGCTATAGTTTGACAATAATTAATCTGCCCCGTCAATGAATTCCATAAGGTTAGGCTGGATAAGAATCTTAACATAAGTTTAATCATATTTTATGTAACAAAGTATTTACAATGATTAAAACTCAAAGATAAATATTAACAACACATTCTTTAATAAATTCTTCTTAATACAAACATTTTAGATGGTTAAAATTTCTTGGAAAATATAAAAATTTTAGTAAGTTGTGCATCCTATTTAATGACTCTCTTTCTTGATTTTATAGTTTTTAATATATTTTAATTAATTAAAGTACGTGTTAAGAGGTGTATTCAAAAGTTTTATTTTCAAATTCAAATTAACCAGAATGTTGACCAAATATTTTTTTCTTATTAAACAAAATATGGTTATGTTAATTAATGAAGTTGTTTGTGCCGTTATACCAAAAGGTTGAAAAATCGAGACGTGATTGGTAGCAAATTGACATTAAACTAGCCCCGAAGAACAAATAGTCTAATCATAATCCTGCTAGTAAAATGGAGGCGTTTGGTATGTACCTAATTCTTATATCAATGTTAGAAAATTATCCACATATGAATATTAATTAGATTAAATACCTAACTTATATACACATATATAAAAGTTTAAGTCCACAAATACGGTATAGTCTACATTAATAACAAAACTTGTATGCAAGAAAGTTACGAATTACTTTTGAAAGAGTTGATTTATGAAGAGACTTCAAAGTTTGAGAAGAGAAAAAGACTAAGCAAAAGTGATTCTGAAGCTGAGAAAAAACATTATTGGAACCGACCCATACATTAGAAAGTTGGCAACCAAATCCACCTTCGACTAAGTATGTGAATGGTGCACCCACTATTCCCTTGGGGACACGGATTACCAACAAAAGTTCATCCCGTGATGCCTTTTCTTTAAGTCTCTGTTCAATTCTGAACTACAATACTTTTTTGTCTATGATGGATTCTTCTTTACCTAGGAGGTTCTATTGTAAAATATACAACATCTCAAAAGTGGTCAGTGTCTGTTGGATCTTTATTCTAGTTTTCATATTAAATATTTATCGTTTTTCAATTCATAAATAAAGTCTTCCATCATAAACTCCAGTTCGATCTATGTTGGTTTCATTGTTTAAAAGAATTAATGTTTGATATTGGAAATTGTTTAAAAAAATTTAAATTTAAAATTGATTAATAGACTGGGGTTGAATTTTACTAGAAAAGGGACTTAGTTCTCATAAGAGAAATCAATGTTAATTAAAATCAGTAACAAATGTTGAAACTTTAAGTTATGGGACAATATAGTATTTGGATATGTAAATTTATATTTTAATCATAATATATTTTATTTTATATAGTTAAAATTTAAATTATAAATAAACATATTTAAACCTATATATTATATTATGAATTTATAATAAATTTTTTGAATTGTAATATAAGATTATTTTTTTAACTATTTATAATTTTAAAAAATACTGAAATTTAGTAGTAAAAATAAAAGATGATGCATTGAAATATATAAATAATTAAAAATTCAAAGGTACA